AGAGTTCTGCAAGTTTGAGGCACAGGGTGGCTTTGGGATAAAGAAGCTGTCACAGTGACAGGGTGGGTGGTTTCCAAAAGGTGAACAAGGTTTCCAGGATAGAGAAAAGGAGCTCCACAACTGGATTGGGAAGAGCTGAGTCATTTCTCCAAACACTATGTTAGGCCAGGTGCTGGAGTTCGAGCACAAGCTGGGCAATAACACATGCAAGGGACTGGAATGCCTGCACATCATCTTTAAGCCATACTGGGCCTGCAGCTCACCCTGTGGCACCAGGACTCTGTGGGGTCCAAGGGGAAGGGAAGAGCTCTGGCAGCTGCATTTGGATTCTCCTTAGGCTCACCCAAGCATCCACTATCACTGCACTGGTGTCTGAGATCCAGGGCCTATTTGGGTCCTTGCTATCATTGCTGTTGGTCAGGGCTGTTTCTTACAATGCCCTGGCACCTCGGTGTGCTAATCCAGTTTTTGTGATTGATGAAAAGCAAAAATCTTGACCAAAAAACATGTTTGCTTGCAACCTCATTGCCATAGTAACAGAGGTCCTGAGGACACCTCTGAAGTAGGTCACCATGGACCCCGTTTTGCTGCATCTCGCATCATGGCATGGCTCCAGAAGCAGGATGCACCCACCACAGTCCAGCCAGGCATCACCCTGGCACAGGGATGTGCCAAATATGCTCAGGAAAGGCCAGGCTGGAAAACTGCCCTCCGGTGACAGTGCCTAAGGGTGCCAATGGCTGTCCTGACCTGATCACGGGAAACTTCTGTCCCTCCTGCTGCCCCCATGCCAGCTTATGGTGTCCCCCAAGTCAGGGCTCCCTTCCATCCTCCCCTCTCCCCATCCCCCACCTCCTCGCTGCCTCCCTCCCCCCTTTCCCCCAGCGCCTCTCCTCCTGCTTTGCATAATTTTCCATTTTCAGTGTCCCCTTTTCTTTTTCTCCTCTCCATATGGTGCGTCCCCCTCTCTGCCTGGCGCTGGAGCCATCCTTAACAAGCTCGGCAAAGCCCTCTCTCTCAGGGGCTGCACATGAAAGATGCTCTGTAAAAATAGAGGCTGGGACAGAGCTCCCCCTTTTTTCCCCCCTTGATTTATATGGGGCTGGGATGTGGGAACGTTTCTGAGTCGCATTTTAGAGCCGCCGGGTGCTCGTGCCTGTTCTCTCCGGCCATTCAGTGCAGACCCCAAAGGCCAGCTTGTCCCCAGCCTTTGATCTGCAATGCAGAAAGAATGGCTGGGGCAAGTTTGTGCCTCTTATCCAGCCCTTGCCCTCGTTTTGGCTGGCAGGGAGAGATGCCCTGTCCTGCCACACCAGGGAGAGGCCATGCCTTTTCCTCTCAGTGTCTGGTGGTCTTTTCCAGCTGGCTGTTTTGGCTCCCTCCTACATCCCTGGCACCATGAGGACCTCTGGTCTCACCAGGTCTCAGCAGGCTGGGTCATGGTGAAGCAGCGGGTCATGGGATTTGTGATACACAGCGACTCTGCACATCTAACCCACCACTGCCCCTCTCAGCTCCACCATGGATAATTGCCAGTGAGCACCCAGGGACGAGTGGAGGGTACTGGAGCTGAGCAAAGGGTACTGGGGCTGGTGATGCCTGCCCAGCATTTGATGGGTTAAGCTGGTCTCCAGCTAATTTCTCCCAGCGGCTCCCCTCCTCCTCCTCGTACTTCTGTATGCAGCAGGCAGGGCCTCAGCGCAGGTTCCTGCACTGAGCTGTTGCCAGGGGAGTAGTTAGGCGAGTCTGAGCTATGTGGGGAAAAGGCCCGGGCTGTCAAAGTGTCTGAGATGAACCATAGCCCAGTCCCCCTGCAGCTGGGCCCAAGCATGCATCAGCCCTTGTTTGGAGCCTGGGAATGGCAAAGCCCAGGGAGGTTCAAGGGCAAACTTGCTATTCATTAGTCAGGGGTCCTTGACGTTCCCACTCTCTGTCTCCCTTCTTCTTCTTCTTCTCTTTTCTGTCCCTCTTTTGACAGATTCCTGGGTGCTTTTGGGGAAAACTCCCCTCCTCCTCCTCGCCCCGGCAAAAGCCCTCCACATAAACTTCCCCAGCAGACAAGGCAGGAGGACAATAACGTCAGGGCCACGATGCAAACGAGAACCAGCGGAGCAGCCACGTCCCCCGGGTGTCCTTTCTCCCTGGTCCTTCCTGCGCTGCCGCGGGAGAGCCGACGCATTCATTTCACTCATCTTGCCCATCGCCGATGTTTTATTATCTTGATGCTTGCAGGAAATTGTAACTTGAGATAAGGAAAATGTCAGCCGCCTTCTCCTCTCTCCTGTAGCCCAAAGCGCCGGGAAGTTCCTCCGTAGGAAATGTAAATGCTTGCCCAGGTGCAGAGGATGAGCACGAGATGGAGGGAGCCTCGAGAGGCCGTGCGAGCATCTCCGCCAGGAGATAAAACTCGCAGCGTAGGCGTAACACGGTGCCTCCCTCCCACCCCCGCTGAACAGAATATTTCATAGCTCTTAGAAGCCGAAGCTCCCTTGTAATTATCCAAAGTAAACAGCACGTGTTATTAGTTTAAAATGATTTTTTTTTCCCCCTCCCCGGGCCCCTGGAGCAGAATGGAGGTGTAATTGTGCTAAGGAGTTAGCAGGGGAGAGCACAGCTTTTGGTCACATTCAAGTTGGAGGGCTTGAGCCAGGGAGGCTGGTATGAAAGGCTGGTATTTGCATAAGCAGCGTGCATCCCTACAAAAAAAGAAAGATATCAGGGGCTTGCAAAATTCAATCAAGGCTGGGAGGGAAGAAAAAAAAAAAAAAGGGGGGGGGGGAAGGGAGGGGGGAAAAAAATTGACAGTGAAAAAGGTTTTTCTAAGTAACACCCTGGCGAGATTAAATTGTCCAGAAAGTTTCTCCGTGTGAGCCGGTGAAGCGGAGGCTGGGCTGAGGGCAGGGGAGGAGCAGGGTCCCTCCTTCCTGGCCTCAATAGGGGATAGGAATCTGATTAGGCAGAGTGTTCTGCATCCATTTACCATTATTTGAGGGTTTTTTTTTTTTCCCTTCCCACCGCCCAGAATTGCTGTGGCGGGGCAGTTTGTCAGCTTATAAACCTCAGTGCTGGCTTTGTAGGGACACAAGGAGGCATAGGAGCAAGTCTTGGAGCAGAGGCTGAGCTGTAATTTCAAGTATTTATGCATTGTTTTTTTAAAAAACAGTGATAATAATTCCACATGCTAGTTTGTGGGATGTTTTCCCTGCACAGGGCATTGGAGAGGGAAGGCAACCTTGGGCTGGGATAGGGTCCTGATGGAGTCCTATCTTTGCAGACACCCACAGTGCTAGGCTGAACTCTGACTGTAGAGAAAGTGCATGCAGGAGATTTAGGCTTTCCTAAAGCTTATGTCAAATAAGTTGGGTCAGACCATCCCCTCCTTCCCTCAGTTACTGAGTGCCTGCAACTGCTGCAAACTGAAGCTGCAAATGCACCAGGCAGAGGGTAATTTCCAGGGCAGGTTGATGTCTGGTACCAAGGAGCAGCTTCTCTATCTGCACCATAGAGGAGCTTCTCTGTAGGCCACAGCAAGCTCACCCTGTACCTGCAGAAGGCAGAGGGCTTTACCTGCCAGGTAAAGGCTTTTCGCTGGTGAGCACAAGGGTTCAGCCTCCTCCTCCTCCTCTCCTGGGCTTGCAGAAGCACCCACCACCATTCGGATCTCGTCTGCCCTGACCTCAGCATCCTTACCAGCCTTGGGGGGACATTGGGGATGACTCCTGATCTCACATAGGACAAAGAAGTGCTGAGCCTTGGCTTCTCGCAGCCTGGGTCTCCCTACACACATGCCAGCATGGGCTCCATCCTCTCAGCACCCTATTTCTGCAGAGGCAGTCTTTGGTCCTTCCCCAAACACATGCACATGGGGTGGGTTTGGCCTCTCGCTCTCTTAAGTTTTAGGCTTGCTTCAAAGTTGTGAAAAGGAAGGGATTTTCCTTGGATTTCCATCAAATGCTTTATGAATATTGCAATAAAGGGGTTACAGAAGATCTATTTTTAAGAGATAGAAAAAATACCCATGAAAATTGCAGCCTGGACCCCAGAGTGTAGAGTATTTGCACAGTTCAAAGAGTTACGGTGGTTCATCCAGTCACAGCCCGGGAACGTCGTGGTGCGACCTACAGCAGATCACATGCTGGCTACTCCCAGGGCGGCTCATTAGAGAGCCACACAGAAGATTTATCTCTTAAAATGGGCTTGCAAATATTTTATAAAATTTGCAATATTTTATAAAATTACAATTTGGTGCAATAGAAAGAATAAATTAGCCAGCTGATGGTTCCTTTTGCACTCTGGATCCAAGTGTACTCAAGGATTAGTTATATTACTCTTTACCCCTTCCAACATAACAGTTTATAGGCAAAGCAAAGGGAAGACAGCAAAGGCATGGGACTGGTTTAGGGGCTAGGGAATATACTCTCAACATGGATAAAGTGTAAAGGAAATAGAGAAAAAATCAGGAAAAAGGGAGGAGAACATGCTGCAAGGTGCAAGGTGTGTGGGGCAAAGCACAGGAGGTACAAGCAAAGCTGAGAAGGGGACTTCTGCTGAGTGTCACAGCTTCGGCTCCAGCTCGGTGTCTTGGTATCACTTTCTCCAGCCAGGCAAGGGCGCTGAGGGCAGGGAAAGTTAACACGAAGATTAAAACATCAGAGGGCTGTGCCTTTAGTGGCTCTGACATGCAGAGTAATCCCATGCCCCAAAGCCTAGGGAGGAAGGACAAGCGGTGAGCCCTCCCCTGGCTGGCGGTGTGCGGGGCAGGCAGAGGTAAGGGGTTGAGGCGGGCGCAGGGTAAGCTCGGTGTCTTGAGGACCGTGGTTTTCCCAGTTGGGAAGGGGAGAGGTGGTCCAGAGCTGTGAGAAATGTGTGGTGAGGAGGGAAAGAGGATTGGAGTTTCGCTCCATCAGTGAGACAAGTTGGTCTGTTCTCAACCGAGTGCTGCTGCACCATTTCCCTGACAGAGATCATAACCACTCCATTTTTTTTTCTTTCCTTCCTAGATCCCAGCAAGTGGAGAAGGGATTTTTCAAGCCCGTGAGTTCCTTTGAGCTGTTGGCTACCGCCTGCCCAGACTTGCCACCTGACTTCTCCGAGTTTCTCCAGGAGGGTCCCAACTGCTTCTGCATTGGCCCCAGAGAGGAGGCAGCTTTGATTCATGAGCACAGCGGGTTTCTGCATCACTTCGAATCACGCCGGTCCACCCATGGGGAGGGAGCCAGGGCAACACAAGGGATCATCCCACATCACTCCTGTATGTTGCCTTCAGTGCCCTCAATACCCCTGAGCAGGACCAAAGCACTTAGACAGAGAGACCCAAGCCAGTCACTGTAACAACTGGTGAAATACCAGGTGTGCGAAGGTTGGAAGGAGCTTTTTGCTCCCGGCTTTGCTCATGGAGCAGAGCTTGGCCCTTGCTGCTCTTGATCCCTGGGTCTGTGGAGCTGTGGGAGCACGGCCTTCCCAAAGGTGCTGTGCTTGTGGCCCAGAGGACCGTGAGCCTGTCCAGGCCAGACAGCCCGGCTGCTGTTGTGCTGCACCCTCTCTGTTCCTGTAAGAGAAACGTACTGCCTGTAATTATCTCCCATTCAAATCCCGCCCCCCCATGCACTGTTGAAAATAAACTCTCCCTTTTGCAAAAAGTGAGCCGTGTGATTTGGTGCAATCTCAAGATGGAGGAGGCAATGGGCACAAAATAAACCCAGGCAAATCAACAGGGAAGTGGGAGCAGCCAGGAGCCAAGCGGCCGGGCTGCGCCGTGCCCCACATCAGGCACATTTCCCTGAAAGCCTGAGCGAATCCCTCGCTGCTCAATGATCTTTATTTGGTCTGAACCCCGTCTGGGAAGTAACCGCTAAACCCAATGCAAACAGACCCCCGTGAAAGAATATAATGAATATGTCTCTCAAATGATTTGGAGCCCTTCTGCCTGCAGAGCAGGGTTCCCCATTGTGCCCCGCTCCCGGCGTGCTCGGGGCAGGCTGCGCGAGGTGGCCGCTTTCCCAGCTGAAATCCGAAAAAAGCAAACAATGGGTCAAGGCCGGCATTGTGCAAGCCCAGGCAGGCAGAAGGAGCGCAGCCCGGCATGGCCAAGTTCAAGGCTGGGCAGGGGGCCGGGCGCGCGGGGATGCTAATGGGGGCTGCGCGGGGGCCGTGGAGCAGGGGGGTCAGGGGCTCTGCGTGCCGTTATCCTGTGCAGCCACGAGCACCCAAAAACCACTTCACACAGAGGCAAAGGGATGTGATGGCCCAGTGCAGTGAGGGGTGCTGGGGGCACTGGTGGCACTGGGGAATTTGGGGTTGCTGGGGGGTTGCTGGTACTTAGGGAGCTGGTATTGCTGGGGAGGGTTGGTGTGAGTTGCAGGACTGGTGCTACTGGGGATGGACTGGTGTTATCGAGGTGGTACAGGGGTATCTGGTGTTGCTAAGGAGTATGACTGGGGGAACTGGTGCTGGGGGGGGCTGCAAATGGAGATGATGGCACAATACGGGGCCCTGTTAGTGCAGTGTGCATTCTGGGGGTGATCTGGGTTTGGGAGCCTCGCAGAGGACACTGCCTCTTTGGGTCTGCCCAGTGCTCCAGGCCCGAGCAGGGACCCCCCCACGCTCCCTCGTCTCCCCGGCTCTCCCCCCTCCCCGGATGAAGTGTGCGGAGACAGGCGGAGCGGCCCGTGGAAAAACACCATGGAGGGCCCGCACAAAGGGGGTTTTATTCAAATTTGTTTAGAGTTTAGCGGATTTGCATGAAAAATGTGTGAGAAAAGCCGGCTCCAATGACCTCATCCCCAGCTGCCATTAATGTTCAATTAAGTGCTGAATAGTAGCAAAGGGGGGACCGGCCGGGACGTGCAGAGAATCCAGGCTCGGGCGCAGACTGTGAGAACCGGGCGGCCCCCCCGACCGTCTGGCCCCGGCCAGCCCCGACGGGGTCCCCCCGCCGCCGCCCCCCTCCGCACCGGGAGCTGCGCTGAGCCTGTCGGGTCTCAGCCCGTCTGGGTTATTCCCCGGATTACTCGTATCCTGAAGCAGAGTGCCCCCCCGGCAAAGGTGGGTGTTTGGGGGGGTAATGCCCGCTCACTGCGCCGCCGGGGCTGTTGTCACTCACTCCGCAGCCCGCCCGGCCCAGAGCCGCTCTCTGCCTGGCAGACGGTGTCAAAGCCCAAGTTCAAGTCCACGCCGAGGGGCTCTGCCCCGGGATTCCCAGCTCCTTTCCATCCTCCGCCTTTTGTTCGCCTCTGACAATTGCTCTTTATTTCTTACACACCCCCAGCCTCCCCCCAGCGCCCCCCTCCCTACCCGCACTTGGCACCGTTTAGCTGTCTGCCTGCAAACTTAACAACCCCAGTTCTTGGTATAAGCACTCAAATTATCCCTCTTTCTACATATAAACACGGCCCGGGGTGTGCGGTTCTCCCCGGCCGCGGGGTCCCCCCGGCGCAGCCCGGCTACCCCGCACCGACCCCGGCCCCGGCCGGAGGAAGTTTCTGCTGCGGGACACGGCAGGAGAAAACGAGCCGGATCCAGAGCCCCCCGCTCTGCGGGGCTCCCCCGGGCCAGCGCTCAGGTAAGGCAACACACATCCCCATTTGCTTTTGGGGGGCTGCCTCTGCTGCGGGGCGTGATGACACAGCAGGTTTAGGGGAAAGATGGGGAGGGTCTCTCTTCAGGGGTTCCCGCATACTCCAGCAAAACCAGCCCTGCCTCGGGCACGCTGATGCAGAGCCCCGAGCCGGCCTCCCCCGGGGGTGCGGATCCCCCCAGCTGGGGTGCGAGGGGGACACTGGCTGGCGGGGGCAGCCCGAAAGCCAGGGGAGGGGACCTTCCCAAACCTGCCTCTGCCCCGGCCTGCCCTCTCTCCGCCCCCCTCGCGAGGGGAACACCCACACGGGGAGCGGGCTGGGGGGCACCCCAGTGGGCCCCTGGGACTCCCGAGCACCGACATCCGCGGGTCCGCTGCCCTCCGGGACGGGGCTTCGGAGCAAAGCCCGCTCCGGGGGTCAGCAGCAGCATCCCAGCTTGGTCACACCTCGCTCTGCACAGGTGTGATACGTGGGATTGAGGAGGCCATAGGGTGACCGGGAGGGGGCTGTGTGACCCCGCAAATAAACCCCCTCTCAGCACCTGCAGCTGGGTAGTGCTGGGATAAACTGGGGCAGGGCGGGTCCGAGGGCATCGGACACATTTGGGGTTTCGGCTGATTTTTTTTTTTTCCAAGACAATTTCGGGTGAAGTAGGAGGAATAAACACACACGCTCCCACACCTTTCGCGTCCAAAACAGAGATAAAGGACGGAGGGAGCGAACACACCTTCACTGGGGAAGGGAGCAAGATTTGGGACAGGGGGAAAAGAAAGGAGGGGATAAGAAGCTGAGACAGGGAAGAGGTGGGATACCGGGTGGGGAAGCAGGAGCGGATTCCCCCAAACCTGTCCTCGAGCCCAGCGCAGCGAGGCGGGCGCCCTTCACCGACGCCTCGGGGCGGGGCGGCCCCGCGGCTCGGGGACACCGGGGGAGCCGTGCCGTGCCTCGGGCCCGGGGCTGTCACGTCGCATCGCGTCACGCAGCATCGTGGAGTATAATATGGAGCCATAAATTATAGCTTAACATAGAATATATGTGTTCTATACATATATACGTGGAATGGAGCGTATATTGTATTGCATTGTAGCCGCGAACTGTGAACGGGTTTCTCCCCGTCCGAACGGCCCCTGGGGTGTATGGGGGGGGGGGGTCGCGCCGTGCTGTGCCGAGGGTGCGCTGAGGTCGCCGCAAGATCTCCTCCCTCTCCCCAAAACAGAGTCTTGCGCTCCCACAGGCGTGTTTAACGGTAGCGGCGTGGGCACACCTCGGGGCCGTGGGAGAGGCCGCGCCTTTTTTTCTAGTGGCTATTTAAAAAATCCGCACTGGCACCGGTGCCGGCGTCCGTCCTTTCTGTGGGCCCGCAAGCGTGTGTACACACGGCTGCTTCTCCCTGCTAGTGCCCGTGGACACACCTCACCCCTCTCAGCAGAGGAACCAAGGGCGAGTCCCTCCGGGGCACCCACCCGCGGCTCCGCGGCCACGGGGACCTCGCACAGCGGTCACAAGTAGCCGGGGGCTCAGCACCCGGGCAGGTGCCGGAGCCCCTCGGAAGGAGGGAAAAGACTTTTCCTCCGGTCGGTGGGAAATAAGAAATACCCCCGCGAGTGGAAACAGCCAGGATTTGGCCCTGGGTGTGGGGAAGGCAGGATGGAGAGGGGAAAAGAAGGGATGGAGGCGAAAAAGGGATGTAGCGGGAGAGGGAGTAGGAGGAGGGAATGGAGAGATGGAAGGGGAGAAGGACGGATGGAGGGAAGGAGGGGGAGAAGGAGGGATGAAGGGTAGAAAAGAAGAAATGGAGGTTGGAAGAGGAGGGATGAAGGGTGGAAAAGGAAGGATAGAGGTGCGATAAAGAGGGATGGAGGCGAGAGAAGGAAGGCTGGAGAGGGAGAAGGAGGAATGGAGGGTGGAAAAGGAGGGATGGAGGGGGGAAGGAGGGATGGAGGGGGGAAGGG